GATGGAGGAGAAGGAGAGGTTGGCCCGAGAAGCGCGGAAGAGGGCGGAGACCGTTTGTGGCCCCGTGTACTCCTCGAACAGCAGAAGTGCATCTGATCGATGCACTACCAACACACCGCTTTTCAAATAAGGAGGCGTCAACAGTGTTCCTCCGGAATGTCGTGCCAACGAAGGTATCCGTCCGTCTATCCATCCACATACATCTCTCTCTGTACGTACCGATCTGCATTTTTATCTCTGTCGTCTGTCCTTAGGTCCGTCTTAAGTCCACGATTGATCGTCAGTGACTGCCACGATGAATAGCTCGCATGCTATCTGTTAGAAAGATGGTTTGAAATGGCGGGTCATGAGAGAGAGAGAGACAGAGAGAGAGAGAGGGTTTGGTACGTTCTTCACCGCCTTCCCTTCCCTAGGAAAGGAGGGGGGCGAGCGAGCGAGCGAGCGAGCGAGAGAGAGAGAGAGAGAGAGAGGGTTTGGTACGTTCTTCATCGCCCTCCCTTCCCAAAGGTGGGGGGGGCTAGAGAGAGAGAGAGAGAGAGAGAGAGAGAGAGAGGGTTTGATACGTTCTTCACCGCCCTCCCTTCCCTACTCTCCACCCCGAGAAGCTCGCTGCTGAGTTTGTCAAAGGGAGGAGCAGTAAGAAGCATACTCGCAGTAGCTCTCTCTGGACGGTATCTGGCCGCAATTGCCGTCAGATACGTTCGGAAAACTGCACGTGTGAAAGTATGCCCTCAGACGTTTCCATAGCTCGTGTGCTCAGTAGGGATTGCGTCATCGTCACGAGCTTGGAGGGCCATAGCTTTTTCTTTCGTCTCCTTCTACCTATCCTTTTCTTTGTTTTCTTTTTTCCCTTTTTTTTTCCCCTTTTTTTTTTTTTTTTTTGGTTTTCCCCCCCTTTTTTTTTTTTTTTTTTTTTTTGTGTGTGTGTGTTTGCGCGGGGTCAATCGAGAAGATTCCAAGAAGACTAAAGGAGGGCCTCGCTCCAACTGCAGAAGCTTGTAAATGTATCCGGAGCTAGAAATGGTCCCGATTCCGTCCACATAAATGTTGGATTCGTCGGAATGCATATGGTCAAGCCCCCTGTCAAGATACATGTAGAATGTTGTCTATGGGAGCGAGGCCCTAAGATAAGAAGAAGAAGAAGATTAGGTCAGCAGTTTGGGCTTTTGATTGATTGATGAGCTCTCGCTGCTCCTTGATCGGGATCGGGATCGGGATCGGGATCGGGTCGTGCGGGACTCGCTGGATCTCCGGGCGGCGACCCCCGTTTAAACTCCCCCTCCCCCTCCCCCTCCCTTTCCCCTCCCCCACGCTTGTTGTATAAGATTCTCTTTCCCTTTTCCTTTTTTTTTTTCCTTTCTTTTTTTTTTTTTTTTTTTTTCTTTCCCCCCCCTGTGTGCTTGAGTCTGCTGAGTCCTCCCAGCATATTCGTTCATCTGATCCGTCCGTCAGCTGCAGGCTCGACTGCAC